GGACTCGGCGGCACGGCGTTTCGGTCCACGGCTTGCTGCTGCCGCCGTCGCAGGGGTGCTGCCTGCGGCGGCGGCGGCACGGCGTTTGGGTCCACGGCTTGCTGCCGCTGCCGCCGCCGCAGGGGTGCTGCCTGCGGCGGCGGCGGTAGCGCACGTGGCAACCCCCCGCGTTTCCTTGCCTCCCATCCACCGGACCCCGTCCTGCGCTTCACTTTGTTTAGGGAGGGGCTGCTCACTGCTCATTGCTCATTGCTCATCGCACACTGCTCAACGCTCATTGCCCTATATCCCACCCAGCCGCAGGACTCTACTGCCGCCCGCGCCCCGCCCCATCTGGCCGCTTGCGCGCCCCATCCCCTCTCGATGGGGCCCGCCCACACCGGGGCCTCCCCCCTCCCGCCCACTGCTTTCTCAACGGCCCCGAGCCGGGGCTGCCCTCATTGCATACATAGTGCGCCTTTCCCTGCTTTTCTAGTGACCTAGCGTTCCGCACTGCCGTTTGGCCAGCCCATGCTCCCGTACCGTTGCGTTTCTCCCCAATGCGCCATGCCACTTTGCCAGTCATACACACGTTTCGATGCGTGCCCTGTCAGCTGCTTGCGTTGCATGTCGCCTTGCTCCACCCCTGTTTTATTGCTTTCTCTGCTTTCGCCCGGTTCCCGTCCCGTTTCGGCGGGGAGTCTATGTTGCAAGCTAGTTCTTGCTTTACCAGACTTTAAGCCCACACAAGCAAGCAAGAACTTCACTTCTGGCTGGAACCAGTCACATTTGCTATCCTTAATGTAGAGCTGGTTGTCTTGTAGTTTCTTGAGCACTATCTCCACATGCCGAGCATGCTCCTCTACGCTATTGCTGTATATCAGTATATCATCTAGAAAACACACCATCCACTGATCAAGGTACTCTCGAAACACGTCGTTGATCAGGGTCTGGAAGGTAGCTGGTGCGTTGCACAGCCCGAAGGGCAGGACTGTGTACTCGAAGAGTCCCCATCTAGTTTTAAAGGCAGTCATTGGTATGCTGTCCTCTTTCATTCTGATCTGGTTGTAGCCGGCTCGCAGGTCTATAGATGTAAAGATGCTGCCCTTGATCTGGTCCAATAACTCATCGATGCGAGGTAGGGCGGTCCGGTTCTTGACGGTCAAAGCATTAACAGCCCTGAAATCGATGCACATTCTCATAGTGCCATCCTTCTTCTTCACAAACAGGACTGGACTGCCCCAGGGTGAAGTGCTGGGTCTAATGAATCCTTTCTTGAGTCCATCTTCAATCTGTCGGTGGCATTCAGCCTGTTCCTCGTAAGACAGACGGTAATATTTCTGGTTTGGGGGCTGGGCATCTGGAGTGAGCTCTATTTTGTGGTCATGTCTACCCCTAGATGGTGGTAGATGGTCAGGAAGCTCATCAGGCATGACGGCTGCGTACTTGCTCTTCAGCCGTTTCACATGCTGGTCAATCAGCTCTTATTCTTGAGGAGAAAATGTGCTTGGGGTACGGTCGGTACCGTCCGGAAAACCTGGTGCCGCTGTCGGGAAAGACTCATTGGTGTCGTCCCCTTCAGAGATATCTGGTGGCTCCTCTTCTGGTTGTGCCCGTACCACAGCAAGAAACAGCTTAGCGCCGCGTTGCATGCTGTGGCATACTTGTAGTGCCGTGAGGTACTTAGTCTGGTGCAGTTTCGGTGGGTCTTGAGGCCGTAGGGTGATCAGCTGCCCATTTTGGCTAAGGGTAATGTGCCTGTTTCTCCAATCAATGGTAGGGTTGTGTGCATGTAGCCAGGGTGCTCCCAGGATCACGTCGTTGCCTTCCAGTGGTAACACGTAGGCCTCTATTTTGGTCAGGAAGGCCCCAATGCGCAGGCTGGTGTGGATGGTCTCTTGAATGGGGTACGGAGTGCCATCAGCCAGCTGCACAGTAGGCCCATGTATCTGGTAGGTAGTCATCTTGTTTTTCTGGACAAACTTGCTAGAAATGAAGTTGTAAGATGCTCCAGAGTCGATCAGCAGGGTGGCGTCGCATCTCCCGACTTTGGAACGGAAGTGCAAAAGTCCTGCCGCCGTCTTGCTATTATCGATGGTGACTGCTAGTTGAGGAGGCAGTGGTTCTCCAGTCTGTTCCCTGTTCGCCACAAAGCTGCGAATAGCAGCTAGTGAGGGAACTGCATGTGGCTTCACCGCCGGGCTGGGTTGCCCTGCTGCCGCCGCTCCGGACACTGCAGTGCCATGTGGCCGGTCTTGCGGCAGTAGAAGCACTTGCCCTCTCGCAGCAGCTGCTGTCTCAGCTCTGGTGTCAACTTGGGCCGATCTGGCTGTCTCCTGTTGCCTGGAGAGAAGCTGGATGGCTGCTGCCTGTCCCAGCGGTTGCCGCTTGCAGGGTTGTGCCGGTTGTGCATGACCGCCCCCAGTTCCATTGGCTGTGGCCCGGGGGTCTGCCCAAAAGGTTTGGACTGCCTGTAGCGATCATACATCAGGGCATCAAACCGCTCTGCCATCTCGACTGCAGCCTCGAAAGTGGCTGGTGCACGCATCCGGACATCCTGCTGGGTCCTCTGCTTCAGGCCGCGAATGAAGCGATCCTTGATCTCAGCATCTTGTATGCCAGGAATGAGCAATGCCGTGTTGCGTATGGCCGTGACATAGCTCCGGACACTTCCGGTCTGCTGCAGAATTGCCAGCCGGTCGCGTGCAGTCTCAGCCGGATTGATGGGCTGGAACATTAGCCGCATTTGTTGACAGAACAAATTCCACGTTGCGGGTACATTGTTTGGGATAAGACTGCGCCACCAAGCCAAAGCCGCCTCTCGTAGGTAGGGTATAGTCTTTTCAATCCGCTGCACATCGTCGATCACGCCGCATGAGTTGAGATAACTGTGTACTATGAACAGCCATTGATCTACGTCTTCTTTGTCTCTGTGGCCGTTGAACAGTGGAGGGACGGGTGTCTTGGCCCGCGGTAGTGCCGCCGCCGCCGGAGCAGGTGGTGGCTGCGCCGCAATGCCGCCGCCACTTGGTTGTTGATCATGTCCCACATCACTTGTGCCAGCGCCGGGTCAATGCCGCCTGGGCCGCCGCCGCCGCCGCCAGGTTGTGCGCCGGGTGGTGCGCCGTTCATCGCCGCCGCCGCCGCTTGCGCCGCCGCCGCTTGCGCCGCCGCCGCCGCTTGCGCCGGGTCCATGTTCTCTGGTGTGTGGGTTCTTGTGACTGTGTTGCGCTGTGTGGGCTTGCTCACTCAACAATGAGGCAGGCAGGAGCAGGCACAGCAGTTAGTGACCGGTCAAGTGTCGTAACTGTCCTTTGACCGAGCTCGAGGTGGTCGAGGTCGGTTTCTGATCAAGCGCAAGCACAGCCCCACTGCGGGCACCAGTTTGTAAGAGCAGGCAGCGGGTCTAGTCGAAGTCTAGTAGCAGCCGGAGCCCGGCTGCGGCCAGTCAAGTCAAGTCAGTTACAAAGAAGAGAGAAAGGCCCCGGAATGACCCGCATTCCGGTTATATAGTCGCACAAAGGTAGTGCTGTAGTGCTGCCAGCCAGGCATGGCTGGTGACTAGTCGATCGATCAAGGCATGATAAGCGCAATCAATCATGCAGTTGTGAGTAGAATGAAGTAGCGAGAGTGTAAGACTCAGTTGCTGTCTCGCAGCTGGCACAGCAGGGTGCCGCCTGCTGCTGCCGCTGCTGCAATAGAGGTGCCACTGCAGTGAAAGCAGCTGCAGAGGAGATAAACAAGCAGCTAGATGGCGTGCAGCTGCCCTTAGATCTTGTGAGGGAGTTACTGGGAGTGGCGGCTGGGAGCGGCGGCACGAATGCCGCCGGCGCCGTCACCTTTTTGGCCGCGGCTAAGAAAGGCCTTCTTTGAAGGCGCTGGAGCTAGTGTCTAAACCCTCCGAGAGGGCACAGGTTCGATTCCTCCCATGTCGAAACTTTGTGAGGACAAACGCGGCATAGCTGACCGGCTCAGCGCCAATCCAAGCCAATTCCTTCGGGAACGCCTAATAGAATCGCCAAGGCTTCGGCACAGGCCTCCCCGGGACCCATTCACTACTAGTGGGGGGTACTGCACTTGGTGCGTCGGGGAGATCAAATAATGGTCTAAAGCTAGACGTTAAAACCGGGAAGTTAAGCCTGTGGAGGCTCTTCCCCACCTTTACCTTTACCTTTACCTTCGATCAGCCGCCAGGCTTTGAGGTGTCCTTGCCACAGATGTTGGTTTTTGGACCAGAGCCGCACCACCGCCTGACTGTGCAGTCCGCTGACATGCTAGTGAATCCGCAGACAGGCAGGCAGCGGAAGAAGGAGGAGTTGGGCGGCTACCCTGCGACCGATGTCATCTTGGCGCTTGTAGTTTTGGGTCCCGAACAGGTGCGGGGCTGCTGTTCTGTGATATGGCTGAGGGGCGCGGGCGCGTCAGCGAGCCGGGAGTGACAGGAGGCATCGGGGCGTGTACGTGCATGGTGCCTGGCCCAGCGTGAGCTGTCCACGCCCATCATGTTGTAGGGCAACCCTGGCGCCTGCCAGAAGCCTGCCTGGCTGGTCCCTACTCAGCAGCACACAGCGAAGCCCAAGCAGGGAGCAGCAGAGACAGCAAGGGCGCCCGGAGAGGCCGCTGCGTCTGGTTCGCAGGCTGGCAGCGGCCTCCCCGAGGCCCCCGGCGGCAGCCAGCGCAAAGGCGCTGTGGACAGCCCAGCCAGCTCAGGCGTGAGCACCGGCGGGAGCAGGGCGGGCGGGGACAGCAATTTAAGCGCAGGTGTGCAGCAGCGGGGGCAGCAGCAGGGGCCGCTACATTGCGGGAACCCCTTGCTGAAGGGCTCCAACTCATTCTATTTCTACCAGGTGTGCCTCCGACCACCTGCACCGCATTGCCTGCACCGCATTGCCTGTTGGCTTGACCATCCACGATGAGCTGTGCCTGTTGTGCCTGCTCCCGCTGCTGCTGCTTGCAGGGCGAACAAGGCTCCTCTGAGCAGCACCTGGCGGGCCTCGCTTGGTTTCTTTATTTCACTTGCAGCCAGCAGGCGCCCGACGGCACCCGCTGCAACGCCGTCATGATTGTGGGCAAGCCCATGGGCGACTCAACACGCCTGGTGGTGCGCTTCACACACCCATGCTGCCACAAGGAGGGTTCCACTGCCGAAAAGTGCAGCAGGCTCATGCAGGCGCTCGTGCGCTTTTCAGCCCGCAACCGGCTGCACAGCAGCCTGGCAGCTGGCGCTCTCCAGGCCGCAGCGCGCACCACTGTGTCGCCCCTGGCATTGCTGTATGGCAGCACCCTGGTGGCCACAGCCAAGAAGGCTGCCGTGCGAAAGCAGCAGCAGCGTCAGCGTGAGGTAGAGGCAGCAGCACACAGCGGCAGGGGAACTATCGGTGGCCAGGAGGTGACTGCTTTTGACAGGCGTGCTGCACGCCTGCGGCAGTTTGCTGCACACCGGCGGCGGCTGGATGAGCAGGCTGCTGCTGGCAGCCAGCGAGCTGCCTCAGGCTTTCTGCAGCTGCTGTCCACTTTCCCAGACTTCTTAGCAGTTACATTCACTCATGCCAGCTTGTTGCTGCTGCATCATCTGACCTGTCGCGGCCGCAGCAATGCTGCCCTCCTCATTGCTGACGCTACAGGTGGCGTGGTGAGCAAGGGGACTGCCTGAGCTGGTGCCAGGTCACGCCAGAACGTAGTCCTACCTGAGCTGGCGCCAGCGTGCTCCTCTGCAGGTATCTGACGTCGAGGGCGACATGACCCTCATCACTCGCCTCTCCTTGGTGCACCCCACCTCCAGCGTCCAAGGCATGCAGCGCCACGATCGTGTGCGGGGTGCTGCTCCGGTGGAGCTTGTACACAGCGGGCGCAGCAGCCAGGCGTTTGAGCAGGCCCTGGCCACCATGATGCCCTGTTTGCGGCGGCTGGGCGAAGGAAAACCAGCCGGCGTGATGTTTGATCATGACCTGGCGCAGGCGCAGGCTTTTTGCCGCCAGTTCAATGGCATGTCGCTGGATGATTACTTGGCGCGCGCAGCGGCAGACTGCATGGCCTTCTGCTCCGGCCTGCTTCAGATAGTGCAGGAACTGGCGGCAGCTGGCCGCGTTGCTGCAGCCGATTGGGACCAGCTTCATAAGAAGAGTGGGGCAGACGTCAGGGCCCTGCTGCGCGCGTACGAGTGCCTGCACAAAGGTGCGTGCGCGGTGGCTGCGCCACACAGTACTAGTACTGCTGCAAGGAGCACGGCAGGTCGCCCTGCCACTGATTGACTCATGGATGCTCGTTGGTTTGTCCCGTTGCTGTCCCATGCAGCGAGTTTGGGGCTCGATCTTGAGACAATGGAGGCAGCGACACCATGCCTGAGGGAGCTGTCCACCTCAAGCCGCTGTTGGGAGGGTGCACCCTTCTGCTGGAGTGCTTCTCCCACTCCTCACGGCGCTTCTTGGGCCTCCCAGAGCACAGCACCTACCTGCGCAGCCTGCCGCCGGCACGTGCATATGTGTCAGTATGTATCCTGCTATGTAGGGCGCTCCCCTCCTGCCGTTGTTGTGGTGTGGTGGGTGTGCTGCATGCTGTCTCATTTCCGGCCGCTGGCTGCTGCGCTGGCTGCAGAGCAACGCCTTCTGCGGGCTGTGCTGGCAGCACTGCTGGTGGCGCCCGTGAACAGCAACCTCTTCCACGGGCCGCATTGTTTTTTGTTTGCGACTTTGTACCTGAAGGCTGGCATCCAGCTGCTCTCACAGCGCTATCTTCCATTGGGCCCTGTCGGCAGCGGCATCGGCAGCGTGGGCGCCGCCACCGCAGATGATTTCAGGCCTGGTCAGCCGCCTAGGCAGTGGGTGCTGGAGCTGCACCTGGTCCCCAACAAGCAAGGCCGCCCCTACAAAGTGCGTGCAACCGAGAGCTCTATGTCTGTTTTCTGCTCGCTCGTTGAGCTGCTTTTCATTCCCATGCCGTAGGTGCTGTTTGACAGCGGCGGCCAGCTGGATGCACCAGACGAGCTCGGACTGCCCGACCTGGGCCCCCTGGGTGCAGCCGAGGCGCCGGGTGAAGATGCGGTAGACCAGCTGGCAGAGATCGCCACCGCCGCAGGTGAGGGGCGGGGGCGAGCGGTTGGGCTTCTCAGCAGCAGGTTTTTTCCAGCCCAGCTGGGCTGGGAGGGAGCTCGAGGCGAGTGGGAGGCTGACAGGCACTCATGCATTTCCCCTGCCTGCAGCAGTGCGTGCGGTGGAGGGCTGCTCTTCCCACGAGCTTCGTGTGCTCAACCCAGCATTTGTGGAAGTCAACGGCCGCCTTCCAGTAGCCGCCTACGTGCAGCAGCAGGTGCCGTACGCACTGATGTTCTGGCCAATGCTGCACCCCCTGCTGCCTGTGTACTGGCGGTGCACGCAGCAGATGTGGGGCAACACAAACGACCAGTTCACAAGACGGACCACGAGCCCAGTGGAGAACGACTGGTCGCTGCTGAAGCACCTGGATCGGCCAGGTGTTGCGCGTGCGCTGCCCGCTGCCACACAAAGCCAGCTGCCGTGCACTGTCATGTGCTGAGCATTTTTGCGGTGTGAATGCTTGCGGTGCGAATGCTGCTTGAACGCTGTCGTGGCTGCCATCTGCTGCAGGTGGCAGAACCCCGTTCGACACCTATATCATCGTCAGCTTGAGCGCATTGAACGACAGCCTGGCAGCCTTCGCGAAAGCCTCGCTCACTGCAGCTGCGGACCGCAACCTGCCTGGACGGCTGCTCAAGGTGCAAGGCTGGGAGGCAGTAGCGGTGTTGCGCAAGGCAGCATGCGCCACGGTGCTGGCCAAAGACCGCCGGATGCGGGGCTGGCTTGAGAAGCAGGCGCCCAAGCAGATGTTTGCCTGGTGGGCAGATGCAGTTGCATCGGCTGGCGAGGGCAGCGGCGAGGGCAGCAGCGACAACACGGCACTTGTCAAAGCGCTGCTGCTGGTCAAAGCTGTGGAGGCAGGCCAGCCGGCTGAGGCTGCCGAGGCCGCTGCAGCATTTTGGGCGGCAATCGAGCCAAATGCGCCACCAGCAGAGCAGCGCAGCGCCATTGCTGCATCCGGCAAAGCAGCGGCGGCGCCAGCAGCAGGCGATACAATCCTGGCCTAACAAAAGGTCACGGCCAGACAGACGGTCTACACACAGTCCGCCTTCTTCACCTCCCCGGCCGCAACGCCGCCGCCAGCCAGCCGTGAAGCGTGGCGCCGCCGCTTGGCGTAGCTGCGCTGCAGGCGGTGAGACCAAATCTGTAGCAGGCGGTGGCAGCGATGTATGTGTATATGTGTGTGTGTAGTGATGGCACAGCCGGGCCCGATTGATGCAGACCAGGATGTGTGCTGGGACTTGTGCACAACCCACCTGAGATACCACCATGCCCAGCAACACACAGCTTCCCATGACGAAGCGCCAGGGGCCGGGGATGAGCGAGCTCCTGAAGGTAGGCAGGCAGACAGGCAGGCAGGCAGAGACGGTATGTTGGTGTGCGTGTGTAAGCCACTGTGTGGCATGGTTAATCGTGCATGGTGTGTGTGTTTGGTGATAAGATGTGTGAGAGCGAGTGAATGTGTGTGTTGCGAGGCCGGGCAGGCACTGGGCCAGAGTGTGATGACAAGCCTGCCAATCCCCACAACAAAAATGCAAGTAGGAGGCGCGCGCCCCTGTGCGTGCCATCTTGATGTGCGCACCTGAACCAGAGTGTAAAGACAAACCAGGCAACCACTGGGGGTGCCATCACGGAGCGTACGCTGATGAAGGCGACTGCAGGGGTGGTGAAACAGAATAAGAGGGTGGTGGGTCAGTGACAGTGGTAATGGCGCTTGGAGAAGAGAGGGAAAGGTGGGCGGGACGGGGCAAGGGCAGGCAGATTGGACAAAGGCACCCACCTGTAAAGAGTGGGGAGGTGAACGTGAAGACCTGGAGGGCTGCCTTGTTGTGGTGGCGCAACTCCTTTGCAATGGTGAAGACGCTGAAGACAGGGGAGGTAACCGTCGCCAGGAAGAACATCATGATGCAGCCGATGGCGCCGTGGTGGTGCAGCAGGCAGCTGCGTGGCGGGGAACGGAGGAGAGCGATTCGATACAGGGGATGCAGTGGCCAAAAGTGAATGAGGGATCGGCGTTGGGGCCGGAGCCGTGCAAGCAGGGAGAAGTGCATACACATGCACCGCCAGCCTGCTGACACGGTAGATCCTGCCTCACCCCACGAGGTAGATGGAGGAGACTGTGTGGTGGAGTATGTGTTCATGGTCTGCATGGGGTGCGCTACCGGTAGGTGGTGAGCCCCAACCTACACTGTGTTGATGTAGTAATATGTACATGAGGCAATGGGTGGGCGCCACACCCAGGCCCGCCACCCACCGTCTGGCGTGAAGGGTAGGAGGAAGAAGAGCATGTCTGCTGCCATGTAGCCCAGAGAGAACTCGTTGAGCAGCTTCTGCAGGAGGGGGGCACACTGGTGTGCGTGTGTGTGCTGAGTCATACAGTTGTACCACAGACACATACATAATTATAAGCACAACACACACAGCCCAAGGTCCCACCTGCTGCGGCGTGTTGGGCAGGTCGACTTGGAAGGAGGGCCAGGCCAGCAGCTGCTGGTAGCCACCTGCAAGGGGATCAGGGAGGAGGGGAGGGCAAGGGAGGCACGCTCGTTGAACCAGAGGGGGGAGCAGCTTCACAACAACACAGCAACAACATAACCAGAATGAAACAAGCAGCGACGGGGCAGCAACAAACCCAGAAACACACATCCACCAATCAAACAAAACAGCCGGGCGGCGGCCAGCAAACGCACCCAGCGCCGACAGCGCGCCGTGCACGCTGTACATGGAACATGAGGCCAGGACGGCAGCCTTGCGGCCATCCACGCCCACCACATAGTACTGCAGAGGACAACAGCCGGAGGGAGAAAGGAGGGGATTACATCAGGAGCGGGGAAGGGTGTGCAGGGTGGTCTGGGACGCGGCTGTCTGCTGTTGCATGCGTGAATGTGCCTGTGTGAGCAGGGCAAGAAAGTGCGGCTGTGCACGGTCAAGGCGAGAAAGGCAGCGGCGCAAGCAGTGGTGTGGCAGCTGCTGTGCCGCCTGCCGCCCTGCCTGACTGCCGGACTGCTTATGGGCAGGGTATGATACCCTGCCTCTGCCCGCCAGCCCAGCGCACAATTAAGCAGCAGCGCACCCACAATTACCCAACCACAGCACCACACACAACAAAGCAGCCATGGCACAGCAGGGCAGCAACGCACGTAAAACGGGAGGGACAGGAGGAAGACAGCGCCAAAGAAGAAGAAGAAGTGTGCGAGGGGACTTCCCGCCAGCTGGTGCCGACCCACGGCTCTGCTGAGTGCGGCAGCCGCACTCAGCGCTTCCAGGGCGCCAGCCAGCTGCTCAACCAACATGCCTGCGGCGCCGAACAGTGGCGTCTATTCTAGCTGCCTCCTGAGTCGGGCTGCTGCACTGGGACCACGCTGGTGGGCTGAATGGGGCTCTGGGGCAAGAGGGGCCGGAGGGGCCGGAGGGCCCGGGCCAGGGCTTGCTTGCTTGCTTGCTTGTGTGGGCTTAAAGTATGGTAAAGCAAGAACTAGCTTGCAACATAGACTCCCCGCCGAAACGGGACGGGAACCGCGCGAAAGCAGAGAAAGGGCTGTGCGTGCAAACAGCGGCCCAGAGCGTGCCACTGCCTGTGTGGATCGGGGTAGAGGTAGAGGGTCGGGGTAGAGGCTTAACTTCCTGTGGGGTAGCCACGTGGCGACTTGGGGAATGCCAGAGGATCGGGGTAGAGGCTTAACTTCCTGTGGGGTAGCCACGTGGCGACTTGGGGAATGCGCCGCAGGCATGTTGGCTGAGCAGCTGGCTGGCGGCCTGGAAGCGCTGAGTGCGGCTGCCGCACTCAGCAGAGCCGTGGGTCGGCACCAGCTGGCGGGAAGTCCCCTCGCACACTTCTTCTTCTTCTTTGGCGCTGTCTTCCTCCTGTCCCTCCCGTTTTACGTGCGTTGCTGTCCTGCTGTGCCATGGCTGCTTTGTTGTGTGTGGTGCTGTGGCTGGATAATTGTGGGTGCGCTGCTGCTTAATTGTGCGCTGGGCTGGCGGGCTAGGTGTGTTACAGTCACCCCGCTATGATAGGCCGCGTGAGCAGACCTTGGGCAGGGGGCACACGTGATCAAGGGGCATCAAGAGAGGGGGTGGACCATGGAGCACCCTCTCCATGGCTCCGACCACCCTCCCCCCAGCTGAGCGTCCCAGGGTGGTGACCCTGGCCCCGCTCCCCGTCCTGCCGGACACGCAACCCCCACAACGTGGTGGGGGGCGTGGGGATCCTTAGCAGCTTAGGCCTGCCAGGCCGACGGGTGCCGATGCTGGTGCGGGCTCCCGGCGGCAGGCAGCGCCGCCGCCGGGCACTCAAATGGCATGGGGCACACGGGCCCCCATGCCCGCACATCTCCCAGGCACATGAAAATACCAGAAGGCTGCACATGTATGGGTGCATGCATTGCAGGCAGGAGTGCAAAGTGGCCTGCCGCGGCGGTTGGCTGTGCCATTACTCAATCAGCCGCCGCTACTGGGCCGGGCTTGGCGTTCCCATGCCAACATGCCGGCGTACCATCGCGCAAGGGGCCAGTGAGTGTGTGAGGTGGTGGTGGGGGTGGTGGGGGTGCCTCTGACCGTTGCTTGCTGACGCTGACGCTGCTCTTCCTTGCAGGGGGAGGGGGTGGGTCGGGAGCCAAGGCCGGGCAAAAGATGCCTGGGCCCTACTCAAGGGAACCGGGGGAGTCACTGTGCCAGGGCAGCAGCATGCTCCTCATGGCACCGGTCGGCAAACCGGGCCAGCCGGCCCTGCCTGGCCTGGCCGAGGAAGGCGGCCAGGGAGGGCAAGGCGTGGCCGGGACTGTGGAAGAGCTCAGCATACTCCTCCCTCAGCCCAGCGTATAGGGGGCAGTCATACACTGCGTGGCGTACGTCCTCTAGAGGGGCCTGGCAGTGGGGGCATGGGCGCTGGGTGCGGTCCAGCCGCTGCCACCGGCCTGTCTCCTCAGCCATCCAGTGCGACCCCGTGCGCCACTGCGCCAGGCGCACCCGGCGCCGGCGCTCGGGCACATCGCACAGGAACGACGCAGGCGTGTAGGCCTCCGCAGAGATGCTGCCCCCCCACACGTCCTCAATGTACCGCTGCACCTTCACGGATGCGTGCGTGTACGAGGCAACATGGCGCTCCAAGAGCGTTTCCGCCAATTCAGGTATGGCAACCCCCTCGTCAGCCGGGGAAGTTAAGCTTGTGGAGGCTCTTCCCCACCTTTACCTTTACCTTTACCCTCGTCAGCAGTCAAGTCGCAGGGGGCGCCGGCCGCCGCGAGAACGCGGCAAACCTGCGCTGCCCAGGGCTGCCGGGCCAGTGGCAGCCCTGTGTCCGTGTCGGCAGCCAGCGCAACGCTATCCAGCATGGCAAGACGGGCGACCCGCTCGCCGCCCATAGCCTGCAGGTTGCTCACAAAGCGTGCAACCTGCAAGGTCCAGTAGGCGGGCAGCGGGCAGCGGGCAGCGGGCAGAGGCAGGGTATCATACCCTGCCCATAAGCAGTCAGGCAGGGCGGCAGGCGGCACAGCAGCTGCCACACCACTGCTTGCGCCGCTGCCTTTCTCGCCTTAAACGTGCACAGCCGCACTTTCTTGCCCTGCTCACACAGGCAAATTCACGCATGCAACAACAGACAGCCGCGTCCCAGACCACCCTGCACACCCTTCCCCGCTCCTGATGTAATCCCCTTCTTTCTCCCTCCGGCTGTTGTCCTCTGCAGTACTATGTGGTGGGCGTGGATGGCCGCAAGGCTGCCGTCCTGGCCTCATGTTCCATGTACAGCGTGCACGGCGCGCTGTCGGCGTTGGGTGCGTTTGCTGGCCGCTGCCGGCTGTTTTGTTTGATTGGTGGATGTGTGTTTCTGGGTTTGTTGCTGCCCCGTCGCTGCTTGTTTCATTCTGGTTATGTTGTTGCTGTGTTGTTGTGAAGCTGCTCCCCCCTCTGGTTCAACGAGCGTGCCTCCCTTGCCCTCCCCTCCTCCCTGATCCCCTTGCAGGTGGCTACCAGCAGCTGCTGGCCTGGCCCTCCTTCCAAGTCGACCTGCCCAACACGCCGCAGCAGGTGGGACCTTGGGCTGTGTGTGTTGTGCTTATAATTATGTATATGTGTGTGGTACAACTGTATGACTCAGCACACACACGCACACCAGTGTGCCCCCCGTCTGCAGAAGCTGCTCAACGAGTTCTCTCTGGGCTACATGGCAGCAGACATGCTCTTCTTCCTCCTACCCTTCACGCCAGACGGTGGGTGGCGGGCCTGGGTGTGGCGCCCACCCATTGCCTCATTACATATTACTACATCAACACAGTGTAGGTTGGGGCTCACCACCTACCGGTAGCGCACCCCATGCAGACCATGAACACATACTCCACCACACAATCTCCTCCATCTACCTCGTGGGGTGAGGCAGGATCTACCGTGTCAGCAGGCTGGCGGTGCATGTGTATGCACTTCTCCCTGCTTGCACGGCTCCGGCCCCAACGCCGATCCCTCATTCACTTTTGGCCACTGCATCCCCTGTATCGAATCGCTCTCCTCCGTTCCCCGCCACGCAGCTGCCTGCTGCACCACCACGGCGCCATCGGCTGCATCATGATGTTCTTCCTGGCGACGGTTACCTCCCCTGTCTTCAGCGTCTTCACCATTGCAAAGGAGTTGCGCCACCACAACAAGGCAGCCCTCCAGGTCTTCACGTTCACCTCCCCACTCTTTACAGGTGGGTGCCTTTGTCCAATCTGCCTGCCCTTGCCCCGTCCCGCCCACCTTTCCCTCTCTTCTCCAAGCGCCATTACCACTGTCACTGACCCACCACCCTCTTATTCTGTTTCACCACCCCTGCAGTCGCCTTCATCAGCGTACGCTC